AGAATCACAACTACAAGTAAAGACATCTAGTGAGGCTATTCTAACGTCAGCTACTAGTGTGATATCGGAATCTCAACCAGAAGAAAGTACGTCAACACAATCAAAATTAATTTCAACTGCAAGTGGATCGTTAGAATTGCAATCAGACACGATCCACTTGTTCTTGACGTCGATGCAAACTTAGTTGATGTGGTTTCTTTTGGTTCGGATTCAGAGGTTAATGGAGATTTAGTTGTAGTATACGGATCTAGTTGAAGTTGATTCTTTTGCTTGAGATTCCGAGGTTAATATAGATTTAGTTGTGGTAGCTTCTTGTGGTTGCACTTCTGACGATCGGCTTGGAGTTGAAGTTAATTTTGACTGTGTTGACGTACTTTCTTCTGGTTGAGATTCCGATATCACACTAGTAGCTGACGTTAGAATAGCCTCACTAGATGTCTTTACTTGTAGTTGTGATTCTGTTTTGTTTCTGACGTCGAGAGATTCCGATGATCCACAAACACAAGAAACAACTTTCAGTGAGTCTATTCCAACATCAACTAGAAGTGTAATATTGGAAGCTCAAGCAGACGAAAGTACGTCAACACAATCAAAATTAATTTCAACTGTAAGTGGAATGTCAGAATTGCAATCAGACACTACTACAACTAAATCTCCATTAAGCTCTGAATCCGAACCAAAAGAAACCACATCAACTAAGTTTGCATCGACATCAAGAACAAGTGGATCATCAGAATCACAACCACAAATAAAGACATCTAGTGAGGCTACTCTAACGTCAGCTACTAGTGTGATATTGGAATCTCAACCAGAGGAAAGTACGTCAACACAGTCAAAATTAACAACTCCAAGTGGATCGTCAGAAGTGCAACCACAAGAAGCTACCACAGCTAAATCTCTATTAACCTCGGAATCTCAATCAAAAGAATCAACTTCAACTAGATCTTTATCGACGTCAGAAACAAGTGGATCATCGGAATCTCAACCACAAGAAACAACCTTCAGCGAGTCTATTCCAACATCAACTAGAAGTGTAATATCGGAAGCTCAAGCAGATGAGAGTACCTTAACACAGTCAAAATTAACTTCAAGTGCAAGTGGTATGTCAGAATTGCAATCAGACACTACTACAACTAAATCTCCATTAACCTCTGAATCCGAACCAAAAGAAACCACATCAACTAAGTTTGCATCGACGTCAAGAACAAGTGGATCAACAGAATCACAACCACAAGTAAAGACATCTAATGAGGCTATTCTAACGTCAGCTACAAGTGTGATATCGGAATCTCAACCAGAGGAAAGTACGTCCACACAGTCAAAATTAACGTCAACTTCAAGTGGATCGTCAGAATTGCAACCACAAGAAGCTACCACAACTAAATCTCTATTAACCTCGGAATCTCAATCAAAAGAATCAACTTCAACTAGATCCGTATCGACGTCAGAAACAAGTGGATCATCGGAATCTCAACCACAAGAAACAACCTTCAGTGAGTCTATTCCAACATCAACTAGAAGTGTAATATCGGAAGCTCAAGCAGATGAGAGTACGTCAACACAATCAAAATTAATTTCAACTGCAAGTGGATCGTTAGAATTGCAATCAGACACAACTACAACTAAATCTCCATTAACCTCGGAATCTGAACCAAAAGAAACCACATCAACTAAGTTTGCATCGACATCAAGAACAAGTGGATCATCGGAATCTCAACCACAAGAAACGTCCTTCGGTGAATCTATTCCAACATCAACTAGAATTCTAATATTGGAATCTCAACCAGCGGAAAGTACCCCAACACAGTCACATTTAACCTCAATTTCAAGTAGAACGATAGAATTGCAACCAGAAGAATCTACCACAACTAAATCTCAATTAACCTCGGAATCTCAGCGAAAAGAATCTATTTCAACTAGGTCTGTATCGACGTCAGAAACAAGTGGATCATCGGAGTCTCAACCACAAGAAACGTCCTTCAGTGAATCTATTCCAACATCAACTAGAATTCTAATATTAGAAACCCAACCAGGGGAAAGTACCCCAACACAGTCAAAATTAACGTCAAACGCAAGTGGAACGTCAGAATTGCAGCCAGAAGAAGCTACTACAACTAAATCTCAACTGACCCCAGAATCTCAACCAAAAGAATCAACTTCAACTAGATCCGTATCGACATCAGAAACAAGTGGATCATCGGAATCTCAACCACAAGAAACAACCTTCAGTGAGTCTATTCTAACATCAACTAGAAATGTAATTTTGGAATCTAAACCAGCGGAAAGTACCCCAACACAGTCACATTTAACGTCAATTTCAAGTAGAACGATAGAATTGCAACCAGAAGAATCTACCACAACTAAATCTCAATTAACCTCGGAATCTCAGCGAAAAGAATCTACTTCAACTAGGTCTGTATCGACGTCAGGAACAAGTGGATCATCGGAGTCTCAACCACAAGAAACGTCCTTCGGTGAATCTATTCCAACATCAACTAGAATTCTAATATTAGAAACCCAACCAGAGGAAAGTACCCCAACAAAGTCAAAATTAACGTCAACCGCAAGTGGAACGTCAGAATTGCAGCCAGAAGAAGCTACTACAACTAAATCTCAATTAACCCCAGAATCTCAACCAAAAGAAACCACTTCAACTAAGTCAGTATCAACGTCAAGAACAAGTGGATCATCAGAATCACAACCACAAGTAACAACCTCTAGTCAGTTTATTCTAACGTCAGCTACAAGTGTGATATCGGAAACTCAACCAGAGGAAAGTTCGTCAAGACAGTCAAAAGTGACGTCAGCTGCAAGTGGAATGTCAGAATTGCAATCAGACACTACTACAACTAAACACCAATTATCCTCTGAATCTCAGCCAAAAGAAACTACTTTAGCTATGTCCGTATCAACACCAGTATCAAGTGAATCATCGGAATTAGAAACACAATCTATGATCTCTAATGGGTCTGTTCTAACGTTAATTGAATTAACTTCAATCACAACTGGCATGTCAGAAGAACAATCATATAAAGAAACCTTTACTCACTCGATAGTGACTACAACTATTAGTGGATCGATGGAATCACAACCAAAAGATACTTCCAATCAACTCACATTAACGTCATCTGAAAATGTAGCGTCGAAATATCAACCACAGGAGACTACGTCTCATCAGTTTGAAGTGCCATTAACTGTAAATGTAACGTCAAAATCTCAATTAGAAGAAGCCACTTCTAGTCCCTCTCAATTTACGTCAGCTAGAAATGTAACGAGATCACCAACTTCAGATGATACAACACGTGACAGTACTCCAGTTGCTATAGAAGCAATAGAAAATATCACTAAATCAAAAGATATTCTTACATTATCAACTGTATCTGTAAAAGAAACAACAACAGCAAATCCTTATTCAACCACAGTCCAAGCCAACGTGTTGGAAGGAGGTTATCGTACTACTTCTAATCGGGTTGAAATGTCGAAAACGACCCTCCCTCAAACTGGTCAATCTACTGAATCTCCAAAAGTGTCGTTTTCTAGAAGTTACGAACCCAATTATCAAAGTAGTACAGTCGAGATAAACACAACCAGCTTGGAAATAAATCACAAGCCAACAGGTTTGAATTACGTTAATAAAACAGAAACTGCACAAGAAATCCCGAAATCATCCACGGTCTCAACTCCAACTACTGATCGTTTAAGAAATGTTCCAACTTCTACGATGGAAAAGGGGTCTTCACACATAGGTCTTGTAACAAATGGTACAATACCATTAACCACTCATACACCAGAAGGAATTCTGTCACCATTTACCACAACGAGTCCCGAAAGTGGTGTTGCAAATGTTGCCTCAGTGGAATCTTCTACTCTTTCCTCATATCTGATAACTACTACCACAAAGGTGCCATCAGCTGTCACTCCATCTTCAGGAAATGGAATTGAAAATTTAACGACGTCTCCAGTTCAGTCAACATCTGAGGACATGAACATTTCTGATTTTGCTACTACTATTGGATTAATGGACACACAATCATCATCCTTTGATGGTGAGTTCGATGAAGGGGATCGATTTTTATTTTAGATAAGTTTAGCAAATTACTGCCATTAATCGCTCAGATCAATAGATAAAATGTTCATGAAAATTGGTATATCTAATAAAATCATGAAATAACCCAAACTCAAGGCTAGATCTCATTCAGATGTTTATGTACCGGGAAATTCCAAATTGTAAATGACGTAACACCATCAGTGTGACTGAAGAGCTGGCAATGCTATTAGGTTAACATTACAAAGTTCACGTATTCTGTTCTTGTATTTTAAATAAATGTTTTGATCTTTATTAAACCGTTGTCTGCTGATTCGCCTTATAGGGTACGATCCGCCTCCGGCAGTTGAATTCGCTGTATTGTATACGCTGTACGGCTCGCAAAACTTTCGCGCGCGTATAAAGCAGCTGCAGTCGAAGAGTTAAGTTAGTTTGTTTCGAATTTCGCGCAGAGCTACACGAGAGCTATCTACGCTACCCGTCCCTACTTTAGGAGTGAACAACTAGAGGAAAGGCAGCTAGTCAACACCACCCACCGCCTTCTCTTGGGCTACTCTTTTACCAAGGAATAATGGGATATACCGTCACATCATAACACTTCCCACGTCGGAAAGGGTGAGCATGTTCGGTAACGGGGATTCGAACCCGCGACTTTCAGAATGCGAGTCGAGCACCTTAACCACTAGACAATGTCAGGCCAACAACTTCATTAATATTTAGAACATAACTTTTTATTTTGCACTATTATGGTATGTAAGAATGGGAAATAAACTATATATGTATATATTCGATCGTGGCTTTATGTATTGTATACCCAGCCGACACAATGAGTTCCGGCATTGAGTGAAATGCTTCGTCGACAGTGGCGATAATTACCATTCTCTCCTTCTTATTGGAATACTGTGTAACAAAAGAGGGATTTGTTAAAACTTGATACCAGGCTTATTTCTTTTTTCCCCTTAACCATAAAAGAAATGTTATCCTATGAAGAATAAGTGTCCAGAAATCTTTAAATCAGAATTCCTGACGCTCAAAGAGAAAAATGTACTTACTCTTGAAATGTAGAACACAAATTTCCATATATTTATTATTATATGTGTCTTAAATGTTCACATTAGAAGTGATTCTGTGTACCATATTATCGATTAAACCTTATTAAAATTAGAAATTAGTCTTACTTCACCAAATAATACATAAACACGAAACGTACAATAATCTGTAGCCAAACAGATACAAGGAATACTCTCACGTGATCCAAACACGTGCAGTGTCAAACTTTAAAACACTTGTCAACAAGCTTTTTTTTTGTTTATTACTAATCATAAAGCTACACAATGGGCTATCTGTGCTGTGTTCATCACTGGCATCAAAGCCTGATATTTAGCCTTAAGGTTTACTGCTGAAATACCAGGGGGGTTTGTCAACAAGTACGTGCTCGATGATCTCGAACCCCACACAAAAGGCTGTGTTTCCTATCTGTTATTCTAAGGTATTGATATTAAAGTTTTTTTAAAAGAGTAAGTTTGCTTCACCTTCGACCTCGACAATGGCCTGGAGGTTAGCGTGTTGGGACTGTTAATTAGAGAGTTCGTGGTTCGCAGTTTAATTCCCCCTAGTTTATCAGTTCAGAATTGGAGACAAGTATGCGCAGATAACTGTTGTGTAGCTTTGCCCGAAAATTCTGATTTTCTTTTTCTGCCGTATCTTTAGCCAACTTTTTTTTTAATGTTCTACAACAGGTGGACTTCTCAGTGATGTAACCCTTCCTGTTGATCGTATGTCTACTGAGGCGTCGTCTTTAACCAAAAGCCAATCAACATCAGCTTCACTAGTGGTTTCAACTTCAATTGAAGAGAGGAGTAACATTTCTTCTTCATATGTGACTCCATCCACAACAGGTGGCAAGAAAACTTCAGATCTTCTAACACAATCTTCAGTACTTAGTGGTAAGTTCATTCCAACATACCTTCAATGTCCAGTTTTCTGGCCCTTCACACTGACCTCTTTCTAATTTTTATTGACTAACCACACTAAGTTTTGATATAGTAGATTTTTTTTGTATTTATAATCTGTGACCCTTGACCCATCGGTTTATGGTAAGAAAGATGACATATAATTTTAGGTAATTACAAAATCCTAGCTGTTAAAGTTTTAGTTTACAAGCATTTTGTAACTATTGGCAGGACAATTTCTCGTCTTAATGGCATGGCCAGGTGGTTA